AAGCTAAATTAGAAAGAGTTCTAATTTGAGATGTTACTTGTAGTTAGTATCAAATGCCTACAACCGGGTATGATTAAACCTATAGGGTCACACCCAATAAATTTGATTGAAAACTAAATGATAAAAGAGAGACAACTAATTAAGAGTTAATTAAGGTGAAAATCTAATTAAGAGTTAATTAGGGACTTTATTATAATTAAAATTAATAAAAGGGTTATATATAATTATGAGATAATTGTAACTTGACCCAAACTAGGATTAGAGCCTTTAAAGCTCTATAAATACCTTTATATAGGAGGTAGATATAAGATATAACAACTCTCTTGCTAGCACAAAAAGAACCACCCCTCATTTTCTCGCTCTACTTGTTTATCAATAGTTGAAGTAGATCTTTCAAGTTTGTCAATTCGTGTGGATACTGATAAAGGCCAAATATTTGTGAGGCTTAGGGTAAAAATCAAATTCAGATTTGAAGATTTAAAGTTTTTGAGAATGCTTAAAGATTGTTAAAGGCGCGCTTCAAGAGGTAACCTTTAATCTTCTCTATAGATTTAAGATTTTTCGGTTTGTATTAAACATGAATAGATCTCGGTATGAGTACTCAAATTATTAATTTTAAATTTTGCTACATTTATTATATGATTCCTTTTAGTTGGTATTGATGCCAATGATTCCATAATAGTATTTGACTTTGAGATGCAACTAGTTAAAGAAGAAGATGAAAAAGTTTTTTAGTGGTTGGCCAATGAACTACCAAGGTACTGGAGTAGGTCACATTTTAGAGTAGAAACCAAGTGTGACATTTTGTTAAACAATATATGTGAGATCTTTAATGGGGCACTTGTAGATGCAAGGGGTTAAGCCCATCTTGGAAACGCTAGAATGGATTAGATGCTACTTAATCCAAAGAATGGTAAAGATGAGGGAATGGGCTAGGAGTTATAGTGGAGATATATGCCCTAAAATTCAAAAGAGGTTGGAGAAATGGAAAGGTTACAATTTTGCTTGTATTGCTGATTTGCATGGTAAGTTAAAATTTAAGGTAAGGTGTATGAATGAAGATCAATATTGTGTTGATTTGAAGGAGAAGACATGCTCATGCAGAAAATGAGACTTGACAGGAATCCCATGCCTACATGCCATTACTTCTATTTAGAATAGGGGTCAACAACCAAAAGACTATGTTACTAGACATTACAAGAAAGAGGCATTTATGCAGGCATATGAACCAATTATCAACCCAATTAATGGACATAAAGATGTGGCCTAAAAGTGGACTTACCCTAGTATTGCCTCCATTGAACAGGAGACAACATGATGGGCCAAAAAAACTATGGAGAAAGAAACCAGATGAGGTGAGTAATAAACAACAACCACATAAGTTGAGGAAAATTGGGGATGTGTCATTTAAGTGTCGGAGATGTGGTAAGAATGTGCATAACAACAGGACATGCACTACTGTATTGACAAAAGGAGGAGGACTACAAGTTAGAGGAAACTAGTCTGAAGGGAGTCAAGCAGTTGTAGGGAGCCAATTAGTAGTAGGAAGCCAAGCAGTAGCATGAGGGAATCAAGCAGCTGCAGGAAGCCAATCAGTAATAAGAAGCCAAATAGTAGTAGGAAGCCAAGCATTAGCAAGAAGGTCTTGCTTTGAATAGCTTCAAGCTTCAACCACTAGAGCAAATTCAAATTCTAGAAATGCAACTAAAGCCTTCATCATTCAGATTCGAAGGGAAAAATTGTCATTTAGAATGAGTAAATCAATAAGCAGCCATGTTGTATGATGTGCAACTTTTATTTTTGAGTACAATGAATATGTGTAACTCTCTTTTGGGTTTGTAATGAGAGTTAACATCCATGTTGTATGATGTGCAACTTTTGTCTTTTGGTAGAATGAATATGTGTAACTCTCTTTTGGGCTTGTAATGAGAGTTAACATCCATATTGATATAATTTGTAATATTGGGTTTGTACTGAGTTAGTAATATAAGCGTAAGAAGCTGCCATGTTGCTCTGTTTTTTGGGTTTGTACTTGGTTTCAACTGTTTGTACTTAGCCTATTGGGTTAATAATATAAGTAACAAACAACCACGTCTATTGAATGTTGAAATCGGTACTCAAAGTTACATGGAATATCAACATTTCACATTCCACCAATTAAGCATTCTACAAAACAGAAGTCATATTTATACATAATTAAGCTCTATTACATAGAAAACATCAACCTAGTATAGAAGCTACACATGTTTCTAGCTTCACAAAGTCTAGTTACATGAAATACAACACCCAAGTGAGAATGAAAATTGTCCATGAAGAAAATAGAGCAACCCATAAAATTTTCTCCATTTTCTTTGACAGTCGTTGTTGGTCGTCGTGTCTTTGGAGAGATCGCAAAAGTCCAGGTATCGCATGCTTCGATCTATCGCACATTGGAGGATCATACCAAACAAAAAATCCACAACCTCCAACTTCCTAACAATGCTATACTCTGCTAAAAAAAATCAAATGTTCACACAAAACTAACAAATGAAATAAAAATAAGGATTACCCAATATCTCTCACACCCAATAAACCTTCTTCCTTGGTTTGTAGCAGTCCAAGAAGTTCGCATTTTGCCCATTCCCCTATAGTAGCATGGTGTTGCCTTATTTACATGAATTTCGTCTCTCACGTTTTCCTTTTTCTTCCCCTTTTTTCCTCATTTCTCTTCTTCTTTCTGGTTTGAGATGTTCTGTTTGTTTGTTTTGCTTGTTGGACAGGCTATAACGTGGCCTTGAAGTTAGCGGGAATGATTCCCTCCAAGACCAAGTAGGGTGCAATGTCCAATTTGCCCTTCACGTGGATGGTACATGGAGACGGAGGTGGCAAAAAACAGAAGGCATCTATGGTTGAGATCTAAATAAATCAAAGTGAATACTTTAGGGATCAATTTAATGCAATTAAAATATTAAAGATTAAAATGAGACAAAATAAATAATTTAGGGACCACCAATGCAAATAATTAAAAAAAAAAAGGAACGATGGGGGAATTAATTAATTATTAGGGTAAAAGACACCAATAGTCCCTAAGGTTTGACACTTATTACACTTTTATATCTAAACTTTTAATTTCGTCAATTTCATCCTCAATGTTTATACATTGACCTACTTTGGTCCTTACTCCTAACTTTCATCCAAAAAATTAACGGAAAATGTCATGTGCCAAGCATATGAGAGTATTAAGGGACATTTTAGTCATTATACTCTCAAAACTTTGGGCATAAATGTAAAAATAAAATAGTCTCACAAAAAGAAAAAAAAATATTGCCTTCTCTCTTCTCCAACCCACCTCTCTGTCTTCTCTGACTCATCTCTCTCTCTCTCTCTCCAGCCAGCGACCACCCCATCTCTCTCTTTGCGTAGGACTCCATAGCTGGAATCGAGCTCTATCATCCACCACCATTGGAATTGAGCACCACACCCACCACCGCTGGAATCAAGCTACACCATCCACCACCGTTGGAATCAAGCGCCACCACCCACCACTACTAGAATCAAGGGCCACCATCCACCACTGCTAGAATCGAGGTCCACCACTACTGGAATCGAGCTCCATCATCCACTACCACTGGAATCGAGTGCCACCACCCACCACTGTTGGAATCGATTGCCACTGCTGGAATCCATCTCATCTCTCTTTCTTCTGTTCTCTCTCTTTGCTCTCTTATATACTTGACACCTCACACACAAATACAGTACACACCCTAACTACCTGAGCAGGCTCCCACTGTCAATCACTCCACCCCTAAAAATCTTTTTGATTTTTGTTTCATTTTTGGTTTTGGTTTCGATGTTGATTTTGAATTCAAACTTGATTTCGAAAGCATTAGGGCTTGATTGCCCATCGAGGTCTTGGAAAATCCAGTTTTGAATCCATGCAGGTGTATGTGATTGTGGATTTGTTTTGTGGATATGTATTTGTGGGTTTGTATTGTAGATGTGTATTTGTGATTTTTGTGTTGGGTTTGAGGGTAGAGATGCAGTAACAAGTAACAAGAGAGCAGAGAGGGAGAGATGTCTGTGTGTGATGAAGAGAGAACTCAGAAGGATTTATGCGTGTGTGAGGAGAGAAAGGAAAAAAAATGTGCGTGTTTGTGTTTGAAAGTATAAATAGTTGTAAAATATCAAAAATGTCCCTTAATACTCTCATGTGCTTGACACATGACATCTTTTGTTAGTTTTTTAGACAGAAATTAGGAGTAAAGACCAAAGTAGGTCGATGTGTAAATATTGAGGACAAACTTAATAAAATTAAAAGTTCATAAAATTTAAAATTTAAGGATAAAAGTGTAATAAGTATCAAACCTTTGAACCATCGATGCCTTTTACCCTAATTATTAAGTAAAACGCATAATTGTCCTCTGGCTCTCTCTTCTCGCGCTCTTCCAAAGAGGGAGAAACGCAAAGAGAGAGAGAGAGAGAGAGAGAGAGAGGCTGGCATAGGGCACCACCACCTCTTTGGAAAGACAGACTGATTTTTCTTCTAATTCTCCGTCGTACTCATTGATCCTTCTGAGGTGTACAAAAGTGACCCCACCCACCACCAGTATTTGTCACAGAGAGAGAGAGAGAGAGAGCTGTATCTGATTCTGATCGGATTACAAACTCAGATTTGTGAGGACGGGCTCGATAGGATATGCAGTTTGTTGTTTCCAATTGCGACAGTCTCTTCCTCTTTGACTCTTCTCCTCGTCGATCGATCTGGAATTAGGGATTTCCCAGAGAATCATCGCCCCATCTGATTCAAAAGGCTCTTCCACGGAGTTTCCACCTCCAAGGTAATAAATATCTCCATCCATTTATAACAATCATTTTCTTCTTTTGTTTTCATCGCCCATTGTTGCTTCGTGGAAATATTACGATGATAATCTGCCTATCTTGATATGTTCTTGAGCTGACAAAGTTTGGTTGTCGTTAGGGCCAGGGCTAGGGTTAGGTTTAGGCTTAGGACATCAACGCGAATGGAAGCGTCCAGTGGTAACACGGACGCGTACAGAGGTTCATCCGCCACTACTAATAATTCTAGAAGATACGGAATGCATTTCTCTGCGTCCAATTTTTTCCACTCACCGGTATCTACATTTTTGGAATACACGGGCATTCTACGGACACGTTCCAATCATCCAGAAACGGATAGTTTGATAGGCAATGGGGTCTCTGTTGGTTTTCGGGATCGCATTCCTACCCGCTCAGTTGATTCTGCGGCCACAGGGAATGGTGGGGAGGTTTCCATTAGGATTATTGGTGCCGGTGAACCAGAGCAGCATGATAGGGTTGGGGCTGTATTGCCTTCTCCAACACTTGGGCCTGTCCGAGAGGGTGCGTCCCAGAATGAAGTACTTGTCCAGCCAATTTCGCGAATAGCATCCGCGGCATCAGTGGCATCGGCATTCGAGGGTCAGGCGGATTCTAGGAGTGAACGCGGGACTGCAGAGGGTGGTTCTCAGTCAATGAATGGCAATGTTGATGTGGAGGCTGCGGATGGGGTTGGGGTGAATAACAGGGATTCTTCTTACCAGAGATATGACATACAGCAGGCTGCGAGGTGGATCGAGCAAGTTCTTCCGTTCTCTTTGCTTCTGTTGATCGTTTTCATCCGGCAGCATTTGCAAGGTATTCTCATCTCAGCTTCATTTCTTAAATAGCTATTTTTGTTCTTAAGTAACACACGCTTTCATCATCCTATAGCAGTGCAAAACTTGTTGGACATGTATTTTGGAACCTTAGTTTATGTCCCAATTCAAGTGAACCTCAGGAATCAGTGAATGGCTGCTGCATTACGAATTTCTGTTGCAGGTTTCCTTTTTTAGAAAGGACGGAAGAAATTGAACCTATGTCTTTCAGTTTTTATTTTCGGGATTGAAGTTGAATAAGAGTTCTAGTTCAGGAAATTTTAATGGTTGCTATGCCCATGAACTAGATCAAATTTCCAAATTTGAGAAAATAAGGATTATAACATAAATGGAGTGTATCTTGCTACATGTCTTGCTTTCCTGCATCCAATGTGTGTATATAGGGTCTTTCTCCCTGTTTCGTCGGCGACTCTTGTGAGCATCTTTTGTTTACTCATATAATAGTACAACGTTTAGACTGATAAACTTAGTCTTATGGTGGTATTAAGTGATCGAGTTAATCTATTGAATAAGATTTTTTGAGTTTTGATTCTTGTGCCTTTTGTTTGGGCCAACCTCACTAGAGCCCAGCTTTCACCATCTTTTGTCAGCTGACTTCATATGATTTCTTTAGCTAGCCAGTCTGGATTAGTTGTATTCTGGATTTGCTGTTTCACCAAATCACTTGAATTAAGTATTCTGTGAGTGTTTTTTTTTCAACCCACAACATGGTTTCATAATGTAAGAAAAGATTTTATGGTTTTTTTTTCTTTTTGTGCATTTCTATAAGCTTTTCTATGATGCATGTCTGAAGATGCTTCTTCCCGAATTTTGAGCATAAGCAAGTTTGTTTGTGGATCTGCAATATTATAAATTTTCAGTTGAAAAATAGTTTTTCAGCTATTATTGTTTTCTTTAGGCAATTGACTTGAATTGCCCCAAGGACTTGCAGGTTTTTTTGTTACAATTTGGGTAGCTGCAGTTATGTTCAAGTCGAATGATGTTCTGCGGAAGCAAACAGCTCTGAAGGTGCTGTTAAATGTTCTCTTATATTTTGAACTATTTTTAATACTTTTTTTTTTTTAGCTAAAAGCCAGTTTGAATTCTGTTTGCTTTATTATTAGGAAAAATGGGCCATTAAGCAAAAAATGGTTGGTGTATGCAGGGTGAGAGGAAGATAGCTGTTCTTATTGGCATATCTCTTGTGTTCATGCTTCAAGTGTCTGGGGTTTACTGGTGGTATCGGAATGACGAACTTTTGTATCCCTTGGTCATGCTACCTCCGAAAGCTATACCTCCTTTTTGGCATACTATTTTCATTATTATGGTCAATGGTATGTTCTTGTCACCAAGTGTTTTAAGTTGCTGATATTAATAAAAACAGGTTATTACAATTGGTACAGTCCCTGAGGCAATTTATACCTTAAAATAGTAGACACATTTTTTGTTGTTAATGTATTTATTTCATCATACCAGCCTTCAACCGTCGTTCTGTTCACTTCTCTATGTGATTGTGAGAAGCGGGTGGAGCCTTAGTAATTTGTGTTGTGCGTACTTTCTATTAGAAAAGAACAAAAAAAGCATCATAACTTGTCAGGCATCAAATATTCACATTTTGCCATCAATTTCTTTTACTCAACTCAACCCTCTCTCTCTCTCGCCCCCTCCCCTCCCTTTTTTTAAGAATGTAATTCATGTTTTGGCACCTTGGGATAATTTTTAGCCTTGGTTTGGTTCAGATACTTTGGTTCGTCAAGCAGCAATGGTACTCAAGTGCATCTTATTAATGTATTACAAAAATAGCAGAGGCCTGAATTACCGTAAGCAGGTGAGGTAACATGGAACTTTCCAATTAGGCTTCCATATAATGCATCATAGTTGTCTTCTCGAATCTGATTGCTCTCTGACTGTGCACTTGTTTGTATTATAGGGTCAGATGCTAACTTTAGTCGAGTATCTGCTGCTTCTGTACCGTGCCTTGTTGCCAGCTCCAGTTTGGTATCGTTTCTTCTTGAACAAAGAATATGGGAGCCTTTTCTCATCACTAATGACTGGGTTGTATTTGACTTTCAAGCTTACCTCTGTTGTTGAGAAGGTATGGTTTTCTGGTGATATGCATTCTATGTCATTCAGCTTTTTATCTTTGCGTAGTTTGTATTCTCCTTGTGATTTCTGATATAGTGACAAATACAGTACATTTGTGCATGGATCTTATTTTTTGTTTTCTTCAACATCTGCTTGGTTGTATTTTCAGGTGCAGTCCTTTTTTGCTGCTTTAAAGGCATTGTCTCGTAAAGAGATTAATTATGGAGCTTATGCAACATCTGAGCAGGTAGTTTGATTTCTATTTTTCTACCATCGTTCTAAGGTTTTTCCGAGTTTTGCCATATCTTCATGCTAATTATTTGTAGTTAAAATACTTTGATGTGTGTCATTAATGTATTTGTTATATATGAAGTAATCAAGATACTTCTGTCAAGACCCTTGTTTATTAGTTCAAATCCAGAAGTTGAAATAAAACATTAGGCCCATTCATGTTTTGACCCTCCCAGCAATCAGTTTGTTAAAGAAAGCGACTCAGTGACTCATTTGCTAATTTCCCATAGGTAATGCTGTTGATTTTTAACTCATTACACTCTGTGCTGAGTCAAATTACATAAGTGGAGCCATTAGCAATATTAAGACTTGTCCAATGGTGGATTTTTATGTCGCTTTGTGCCTATGGATTGGTTGCTTTCGCTTTAAGGCTATTCATTCAAGTTTATCACCTCTATGGCTTATTCTCCTCGCATCCAATGAAGCTTTCTTACTGAGATAAGTTGGGCTAATGTTGATACAATATCTGCATTGAGTAAAGTTTT